TCGATTATTGGACTTAAGTGGTACTTGATTTCCAATAGATCTTAGGCCAGTAATTGTAAAATACACCCCCAGATGTGTCGTAATATTATCTAATATTTTTTCAAACCCAATAATCAACATGACAGCTAGGTTAATTTTCAAACCTCTGAAATATACTTCTTTCTCTCAGGATTTAATAAATATAACACTACTGTACTAGTATCAAATTAATACCCGATTTCACACAAGTCAAATATTACATAAGTAGTTTTCCTCGGACGACGGTGGCGCCGGTTCCTGTGGCATCCACACGATCTAATATGTAACAGATACGACGAGGGTGAGGGTATGGGCGTTACACCGATAGAGAGATCAGGATATAGAGTCGAGTATATCCCTTAGACAGCTTTATGATGCCGATGAAATCGATGGTTTATGCGCCTCCCCTCGCTCAAGGGACGTCGCACCTTTTGTCTCTATCGAGGATCTACCAGATGTAGATCACGTGATAGCACCATGATACGGGTGTAATTAAAGTACAAGTGTGGTGGGTAATAAACCTACACATGTTATGCTAATGTGAGTGTAGATAGATTCTACTGATCGCAATTTGGTGTATTCAGTAGCTTGCAGACTAAACGATCTGATTAGACCAAAATATGTTTATAAATCCTGTGATTCAACGAATTACATGTTTTTACATTACTGTCTCATTGTGTAAGGGTTGAATCTGATATGTATGTTTGATAAAAATGTTACTAACTCCTTAAATATGGCACGTTTTCTTTTAAGTGTTTTGTTATAAAAATATCGTTAAAATTACTTAACTAACATAACTTTTTATGGTAGCTTTACTCGTGGGGAGGCAGCTAGTCTAGTGGTGTAGCGCGGGGCGGAGATTCCGTGTTCATATCCCACCTATAACCAATAGCGCCGTGTGATAATTACTCTAAGTTTAGTCTGAAGTAATGTGTAAAACAGTTTCGAGGCAGAGACGGAAAACCCACCAACTTCACTCGTCATGAGTGTGAGAATAGTATCATAAAGTCCTTTATGTTTCTTAGTAAAATGATGATATTGACTATGATAGAAATTCAAATATTTCCCTCGACAAACATCATTGCTACAGAACAAATAAACTTATTGCGTTATATTACAAAATATTTTACCTGGCTTGTATTAATCACTTGTGCGACAGTTTAAAGCAAACATAATTTGGAATAAGCAAGTACAACGAATGTACGCATTGAAACTTTGCTAATGTTTCCATTAAAACTAATCAATTGAAATAATTCCCTTGGGCATAATATGACAATTTAGAAAATCCAGAAGGTTGAAACCCGGAAGGGGATGATTTGATAATGTTTTGTACTGCCCAAAAAGTACATACAGATACAGTTCATTAAATATTACACATATACGAACTGTTAGGGGGCGTTCGTAAACTGCACTATTAAATTAATTGCAAAACTTGTCCCCGAAGCAAAATGTAATACCTACTTAAATTTCATAGGATTACTTCGTAGCTGAGAAATATAACATTCTAGATAAAACGTTTTTATAAGACAATAAGAATGATGCAAATGTTTATTTAAAATAATGATACAACTAAGATAAATCCTAATTTACAATATTTAATTAGCAAAATCAAAACTAGTTTTTTTGTCATTAACTATTTTGTCTCTTGCTGTTAACGATTAAATATTCAACTGAAGATTATCACCCGTTAAATTAAAATTTACATTTTAACCGGTTTAAAAGCAAGTTGGTCAGCCTAGATCTTTCAAAGAGCACTATAGGAATTAATAAATCTCTGGGCACGAAACACTAGGAAATTACCTCTTTGGCTACCTTTGCATCTGCACTGGATTATAATAAGCGTTAAAATGACAGACCAATCTTAAAATTCAGATAAGTAGAACGGGTGAATGGGGATGTTACAACAGTAAAATGATGTTACAATGTGGAGAGAAACCCCTCATTTTGTTAAGTATACAGATTATAGCTGTATCAAACTAGAATTTCCATTACAATATGTTTACCGGTTAAATACCAACTAAAGTTAATCAATTCCACAATAATGACCAGTTTGTAATATAAATTAGTGTCTATCTACCATCAAAGTCAGTGGCCACCCGGGCAGTGTCGACGGTCTGCTTGTTATGGTGGAATTTACACCAATAAGGCAATGTTTCAGACATCTTATCAGTGTTTTAGAGAAGTTGATGACTCGGTCGCTGACACGGTTTGGTCTTTAGCGAACCAATTCGATAGCTTACTATCAGATTGGAGTGGACTGGATTATAATTTACAAACTTGCCATAATTTAACATAATTTAAAAAAGTTATTTTTAGAAATTCAAGCGGGTTATTTTTATCCTTTCCTTTTCAACGATACAATTATTTAGTTCTTAAACGCCTAAACATGGAATCTCAAAACTGTATTGCTGAATATAGTTTAAAATGTTCTATCTGTAACAATATTGGGAAAGGTTATGAAGGTAAGCCAAATTTGATACACGTAAATCTAAATGAGACAATATACAATATCTCTAAAATCGTGTCTGTTAATCAAATTTAGGACAAAAATCTATTTCATATATGAACAAACAAGATAAAGCCACACATATCTGAAAGTTATATCTCTTAATTAATTAAAAATATGTCTAAACATAAAATCTTAAAATAAAATTGAATACTTAAAAATTAGTGGTTTCTTCCATGTCAGTGCCATGCACACAAAATGATGTAATTCATTCAGTAGAGGTTAAAACTCCTAGGGTAATTCACAGAGACTTGGATTAATTGTGTGCTTGAGAACAAACTGAGGCCAAGAGAGATGGATCGCTCACAGAAGTATTAAACTCTTGCCTCCTCAGGTAAAGTCGTCTCATACCATCTCCAACTTACTCCGCACTTACTCTAAATTGCATTCTGTAACTACAGTTTATGGTTGTTATACACTGTAAATGTGTTTAATATTATATTATTGCTGACTGTTGATCTAAAATGTCCAATTAATTATTAACAGAATAGTAAGCCAATTGATTCATTTGTTGATCTTTCATATGCTTTATAACTAACAAAACGAGTCTGGACTCATTAATTTATATTTTCTGATCGTAAGGATTTATTTACAAAATCGAGTTTTTGTTTCTCTAACAAGTTAAAGCTCTCAAAGTCACCAAGGTTGTTTTTCCAATCAATTTACAGCCAGGGCTGATGTTTCTTCAACTCTGATTGGCTTCGAACCAATCAAACGCTATTCGTAAACTAAACTTTATAAATTGATCATTATTTTCATTTGGAATATATACAGAATGTCCTGCAAAGAGGTTATACGTTTTGTTTGATCCTAATCACCCATTTACGCACCTACAGCTTTGACACGATTTATAAAGTAGGTTTTAAAATCTTTTTTAAACTTCAGCTATCTTGTTAGTGTTGACAAAATTGTGACATATTGCAATTTTTACCGTTTGCTTCCAAAAAATACTTTATTGACTTATTACGTGTTTTTTACTGCGTTGGTAAGGACAACTCGTTTTGTTCAAGAAAGGGGAGCTGAAAATTGTAAAAATTCTTTCAAATATTACCTTAAAACTTGTGTATAGTTTCAAAGCTGATTACTTTAAAACCTTTTTTCTCAGCTCATGTGCATCGCAGGAGAAATCTTCGCATACTGTTAGTAAGATATTTACCTGTAGATGTGCAGAATCCCTTTATAAATTAAAATAGTCTCAAAAATAAGCGCAAAAAGTGAATTTAAAATGTAAAAAGATTTGCATGGGTTGCCATGCTGGTGACGAAATAACAAAATATAAACAAAAATCAAAACAAATTGAAGAAATTCCAATCACATGTTTTATTTACAGCGTGGTGTGAAAATAGAAAAGCCTGTACATTACATATTTTTGGTCTAGTTTTCAAACACTGGAAGACAACTAGTTTTATTCTTATTATATTTTATTATTATTTTATTATTTATTATGGTCCTACCATGAGACTTTGGTAATATCTAACTCCCTATCTGGAAAAATTCGCTTAAAGTTAACTTGTCATGCCATTGTATCGAGGTTAAACACCGAAATTTATATATCATTAATAAATACGTTTTATTGATTTAAAGTTTCAAAATTACCTTTTAGTAATGGGGTTAGTGAATTTAATTTCGAACTCAATCATGCTACAACATTTGATTGACATATTATGCAGAGTGAATTTTGAGAAAAATAGGTTCAACGAGAGAGGAAATAAAGCTGCAATGGGGAGATAAAGAGAGGCGAGGAGAGAACGTTTCGATTAATATCACTATGAATCAAAACATTCCTAAAACACAATACAATGTAATACCTTAAAGATTCTTCATATTTAAGGTCAAACACGTGCGGTCTTCTCAAGGACTCTGCTGATCCTCCTGGATGACACGACACGCCTAGATAGTCATAAAGTGTGAGGTTTACATGAAGACTACCTATCATAAGACCACGGTGACGGTGACGCAAGCACCTCCAGCTTCAGTTTCGTCTAATCGCTCTGGACTGAGGGTCTAATCTAACAGCCCCAGGCCATCAGACCACCGAGCTAGACTCCTACACACTTACTGATTATTGATTACTTCACTATTGGGGATTCCGGCAAAGTCACCTTGACAGGTGATTTTACACTGTGTGGTTCTGATGAGAATTTATTTAGAATTTTGTGTAATTTAGGTATATGGTGGACACGAAGTATAAAATACGAGAATTTAGGGGTTGGTGAGAAAATTGTGAACTAATTTAACACATATTGGAGGGTGGCATGAAACTGTTTTGATGTATAAAGTATTCTATGACATACAATTTATGACTTCATTGTTTAAAAATATCACAATTGTAATCTAGTCGTAGTTCAATCAGGGCTGCATTACAATGATTTGTATTCATTCGTATAATATTAACTAAACTGTGTGACTAATTCATGTGAATAGTGTATTGTAATCCAACTTTAAAATTGTCTCACAGTTTCTGTGTGTTTTCCAGAATTGGAGCTATACATTTCTGCATGTAATCGAAGTGCTTACAGAAGCTAGGCTTCAAAACGTAAGTAGTCACCGATCAGAAATCATTCTGGTTTTACAACGAGTTAACAAGAAAAAATCAAACGTAATGGCTTTAATTCTAATATCTAAATTATGTTTTTAATTTATATTTTCTTTATCCATATTTAAATAATATTAATTCCAGTAACTGTAGTTTGTTTAAATTTTTATTATTGAAATAGGGAGTTTCGATCATTATTTTCCATTTACAGCCGGGAATTCAAAAACCTTCATATAAATCACCTTCATATACTATGTACGTTATATACTGTATGTATGTATGTTACTATGGGTATGTGATGTCGATAAACAGGTGTAACATCTTAAGGACAACATGTAGTTTTACTGTTACAAACCGTTTTTATCAGTTTTATATTTTTTACTTATAAGTTAGTATAATCATAAATTACATAGAAAATCTTACCCACAGTAAAAACTATTTCATTCCATACATTATGTTGTCACCAATACAAGTGAAACTAAGAACATATTATATATAATATGGAAACCGTCGTTTTATTTGAAAATACATTGGATGTCCACGCCTGTAACTGTAAGTCAAGTTAGATTATCCACAGTCACTTGCTGTCTGAGTCGCCGTCACTTGATTTCCGCCTCGGATTAGAGTCAAGGTAGAAACTGGCTCGAATCTGGGACGCTTGTCATTCGCCTTGCTGCAAGTATATAACATGTACGGATTGTAACCTTAAAGTCATAAGCTGATTTGAGTATTAGAATACAATCAATGGTTAGAAAGTATACAGGGTGTCCCTTTCATAAATAGCCAAACCCTGGGAAATAGTTCTATGGGTCACGATAACGAGAAAATAAAGAATAACATTTTTTTTTTCAAAATCGCTTCGTTAACCAGATATCCACCATTTTGTATTTTTTACATAAACTTTTTTATTTTTTATTTTTTTTCAACCAATCTTTATAAAACTTGGTATTTAGGTTAAGGTAGAAAGAGACATAGGATGATAGAAAAAAGATTCATCTTGTTTCGACTTAAAATTTCAAAATGGCAACCATTTTAATTTTTTTAATTTAAATTACTGAAAATGGCTAATTTTATGAAAAAATATCATGAACACTTTTAGCTTTTTTAATTCCCTATCAAACGATCCCAAGTTAAAAAGATCGAATAATAAATACCTGAAATATTACGATTTTTAGTTGTAAAATGGGGTTGAATAAGGCAGATGGCGGTCAGGTTCGTTCCATTTTACAGCTAAAAATCGTAATATTTCAAATAAAAGTGTTCCTGACATTTTTAATCAAATTAGCCGTTTTTTAAATATTTAAGTTTAAAAAATTAAAATGGCCATCATTTTGCAATTTTAAGCTGAATCCCGATGAATTTTCTTCTAACATTGGTCTTTTCTATCCAAGTTTTATAAAGATCGGTTGAAAATATTCAAAAATACAAATTTTTATGTAAAAATACAAAATGGCAAATATCTGGTTGACGAAGCGATTTTGGAAAAAATGTGGTTCTTGTTTGTCTCTTTATTTTGACCCGTGGAACCAATTCCCGGAGTTTGGCTGTTTACTTACGGGACACCCTGTATAACATGTTCGGGTTATAACCTAAATGTCATCAAATGTTTGGGATGACGAATTGTTGCAAGTTTATACTCCAAAATATCTTAAATTAATGAGAGATTATTTTATACTGTGCTACTATTAGAGTTCAATTTTATATATTATTATGCCACCATAACGAGTCTAATTGTTGTTTAGGTATGTTATGGTTTTCTTACGTATGCATTTCAGATTAAGGTGATTAAGAAATTAAGAAAATAGAAATTTATGTTACAGGAGCATACCATCATAGACTATGATACAATATAGGTGGCTTAATTTAAGTAATATTTTACTTACATTTTGGTACAAACAAAACATGGCAAGATACCTTTTAGTCAAAGATTTTACGTCCAAAAACATTTTTTTTATCAACCACATCATTTTATTTATCTAAAAAGATTTATTTATATAGCTAACGCTTCTAACTACTATAATCTGTAGGTTATTTAAAGAGGAAATTCATGATGAATTTTAGAAAATGTATAATTAACCACCCAGTATCAAAAGCATAGTGTTACAAAAGGATTCGGCTCCAAACTGAACCTTGAAAAATAACACATTTAATAATATGTGTAGAATTAAAGAAGTGTTTATAGTTTCGAAATTATGTGTCAAAATGAGACGAGTTCGATTTGCGGCGTATCCACAAACATATGAGGGGCTTAGGCCGTTTTCGTTCACAATCGTTTATGATACTCTTATGCAAAAATTCAACTATGGCGCAGTACTTACAAAATACTGTCACTTAATTATAAAACTTGCTACAACGTTCGCATATAAATCCAATCTTTACACTGTAGTGAGTGTTTATAGACAAAGTAGCTGTGAATAAACAACTACTAGGAACAGTCCTTCATCTTGATGGACCTGGTCTTGACTTGGACTCGTTCCGAAGATGAAGCAATAGCGAACAAACGATTTATAGGCAAATCCCAGGGTTTGGTTGTTTCAAGGATTTACGACCAAATCCTTCTATATAGGAATTTGATAGACTTGACGACATGTCTTTCCAAGGATTAAGATTATTTATCTCGAGAGTATACTTAATTTATTAACTCGTTTAGTGATGTTTTTCTTATCTTTAAATAAAATCCAATCAATTCCAACGTCCTGTAAGGACATAAAGGACTCTCGTTCTTTTATGGATTCTGCAAGTATAATTTGAGAGTTGGTTTGACAAATAGAGACAAGAATACGTTTAGGAATGGAATTCCTTGAATGCTTTGTTCTATTATTGCAACATATAGAGTAGGTCAAGTATTTCATTTAAATTTGTGTTTATAATTGCGAGAAAATTATTCTGTAATATTGGGTAAGCTACATTTTCTTGTTAACTATTTTGTTACTATGATTTTTTCTATTAAGATTCACACATGTTAATCAATCGCCATTATTTATAACGGTAAAATATGATAACCGTAAAAACTATACACCTGTGATGTTAAAGGGAAATTTTAATTTTTAATAAAGATTTGTTTGCCATGGTTATGAAAATAACGATAAAAAACTTGAAGGCTGGGCATCTGAGTGGTCTATTGCTCTCTTAGTACCGACACAATCCTGAGAAAAGTCAACATTTTTTTATGGTTTCGTTGGTCCCAGCTGCCCTTGATATCGAGCTTGAACTAAATAATGGACTAATACAAGAAAAAATTGTCTAATTCAGTTCAAATATACACAAGGCATCTCATTCCCTTCTACAGCCATTGTTGATCCTTAACTTCATATTCAGGTTGGAATCCACAGCATTATTTTCTTGTCTCAATTCAATGATAATTATAGTAATCATAACAATTACTGCATGGTAGGCACTTGGTAACACAAGAAAAGAAGCAAATTTATATGGTTTTACCTTTATCCTAATTTCGTGACATATACAGCACAGCAACCCTGAGTAACTGCCCCTCATGGAACCGGGTCTATGTTTTTTTTTTATCTTAAGATTAGTTACAATTAGTAACTACGTTAAAATGTTTGAAAATTATGTGATTTTAAAGTTTTTTATATGAGATTTTTGTATGGTTCATAACCTGCAGAGACAAGATTATGTTTTATTACTGTGATATGAAATGAGATTTGAAGTATCTGAGTTCCAAGAAAAGGTCAATTCAACCGACAAGTTTTTTTTTTTATTTCGAGGTAATTAAATGGCCTATATTTTTGCCGAGTAGTAGGTAGTGATAGTTAATCCGAGCGGCAATTCGGCAATAATCAAAAGTACAATAAAATAAAGGTTTGCATCCCTTATAGCCTAACCTTCAGAAACGTTTGTATGACTTTATGTAACTGGAGGGTCGATATTCATAAACAACCTCTTTCAGCTGATTATGCGCCACTGGACCTTGCGGCTTGGTGGCGTGACACCTCTGGAAGCCTTCTGACACACAAATGTCCTATTAGCAGTCAGACAATGAACCTCGCATACAGAACTCCACCGCGGTGTTGGTCTCTAATACGCGACGTGGGGAGACTCCTGATGGCGCTTGTCGTCAACCTGTTCTTGGGAAGATCCATCTACAATAGAAGTAATTATATTCATTGTGTCCCTTTGTTACCAAAAAAATCCATAAAAGAGTATTAAATTTGAAAAAATGTTGTTGCATACAAAAAACTACGAAAGTTAACTTGTATGTGTTATTTTTATTAATAATAATCCAATAAATATTTGTGTTGGCATAAGGGCTCCTCATTAGTAATTTACCTTGGAGAAAATAATGATGATCCACTTATGATGATGCGACGGAGGATATTGTTTAAAAAGTGTCCTTTAACTAGCCGAATGATATAATTGGTTTAAAATGAGAGTAGCATATAAAAAAAAGCGTGACTAGCAAATACCTCGATCAATATAGTTATAATTTATATTTAATACTTCATTACACAATTCAATATATCAGTAATGTTTTCATGTCATATACCATTTTTCTAGCTTGTTGTTAAGTCAACGTTTTCCGGGATTAAAGTCATGCTTAGCACTAATTATAATGGCACTGTAGTAGTACTGGAGAGTGAGCTAGTCTAATGGTTAGAGCGCGGGACTTCGGTCCAAGAGGTCCCGGGTTCAAATCCCACCAAATCACTAATGGATTTTATCAAAGTGATAATGCCACAATCCCTAGGTCTAGCCTGAAGTAATGTGCAAAACAAGCCCGGGCTCGTAGGACAAAAAAACTATAGTAGTACTTCTAGCTAATTGACTTACTGAATATTTTATAAATCTTCGAACTACTTCAAAAGCACAAATGAGTACTTGTACATTTAAAGACTTATAGAGTGTGCTTCGATTATAGAATTTGTTTGGTCTGAGGGTCAGGGGCTTTTGGCGGGCATTGACTAGGGATTGGAAACTTGTATTACAGAAATTAGTCTGCTATGTTTGCAAAAAAATGGGGCCAGAGAAGGTACTTCAGAAAA